ATATATATATATATATATATATATATATATATATATATATATACACATACATACATACATATACATACACATACATACCTCAGTGGTGGGTTCCGGATCCTGTTGCAACCAGGCATCCTCCAGCGCATAGTGCGTGCATGCGTTCTACTGTCCAGCAACGCCTCCGCTAGCTTCTGTGACGCTCCAGCTGCTCGGCGGAGCATCGTGCAGGCGCTGTACGTGGCGTGTGCGTAAGTGCTGAAGAGTTTAAAGACAGGTAAGGACGACGGGCAGGCGGGTGGGCCTGGAACGGTATCCGGTGCTCCGGGCAGGCACTGATACGCCCGTCCCGGGGCGTACCGCCTGCAACCCACCACTGACATACATACATACACGCACACACATACATACATGGGGGGATTCAGCTGGTTTGGACCAGTTCAGGCTAACCAATAGCTCCAACGATCAGCTGAGAGCGGTTCAGCCCGATGATCAGGTGGGCCCACCCGCCGGCCCTCGCGCTTTACTTACCTATATCGTCTCAGCTGATTAGCGGGGCAGAGTGGATTGCCACACCTTAGCTGCATTACTCCCCAAGGAGTAACGTGGGAGAGAAGTTCTGGTGAAACTGCGCAGACGCATGCAGCAAAACACGCGATCACAGCATCGGTTGTTAAACCGGCAGGATCCCACCTCTGGATATGTAAACTAAGAACATGGAATACAAGTAGTCCTCAACTTACAACAGTTCATTTGGTGACTGTTCAAAGTTACAACAGTACTGAAAAAAGTGACTTATGACTGTTTTTCACACTTACCCCCATAGCAGCATCCCCACAGTTGGGCGATCAAAATTCAGATGTTTGGCAACTGATTCATATTTATGACCGCTGCTGTGTCCCAAGGTCATGTGATCACCTTTTGTGACCTTCTGACAAGCAAAGGCTACGGGGAAGCCGGATTCATTTAACAACCTTGTTATTATCTTAACAACTACAGTGATTCCCTTAATGACAAGAGAGGTCATAAAATGGGGCAAAACTCACTTAACAAATTTCTCATTTAGCAACATAAATTTTGGACTCAATTATGGTCATAAGTCAAGGACTACCTGTACTGGTTTAGAATTGTAGGTTCTTTTGCGATTGTATTTATGTATGTATGTATGTATGTATGTATGTATGTATGTACGTACGTATATGTATGTGTAGGAATCCTGTTTTATGTTGTCATTTGACATCCCTGCAAGGATCAGGGCTTGGATCAAAAATAAATATTCTGTCTTTCAATTTCATTCCCTAGGAATGAACGATGTACTTCCCAATACACCTCCTTATGTACCCCGAACTGGACAGGTATTGTATTTGGTTTATTTGTATGCCACCCTTCTCCAGGAGGGACTCAGGGCGGCGAACAACTCAGGGGGGAAAGGGAACATAAACAACAGTACACATAATTAAAATACACGAAAATCACACAGCCACACAGTTCGAGAGGGGAGGGGAGCTCAACAACCCCAGGCCTGCCGGCACAGCCAGGTTTTGACGGCTTTCCGGAAGGCCTGGAGAGAGGTG